CCTACTGCGTCTGAACCGAGCACGCTTTTTTCTCCGAGCTCACCAGTTCAGCCACGGTCACCGCCAACACAACCGCCCGTGGCGACACCGTATGGCATGCCGTTGGATACCAGCTATACTCGAGAAGCGGCGGAGGTGGGAGGTGTTGTGGTGTTTCGACCATCGCCAGCCCGTACACCAGTTACCGGGTCCGCCAACGCTAGTCTGTCCAATGAGCCAACCGGGCCACGGGTCGTTTCGCAAGTCGGAGCGCTCTCCCCGACAATGCCCAAGCGGCCTGATGCGCTCGGGCGAAGCCACCCGAGCTTCGATGGCAGTCGAGGCAGTCGGTTTACGGAGAGTATATGAAAGGTTCTCCGGGGAGATGAGGGTATATACTGGTGCTCTGTACATACGTGGAGGAGTTATACATAGGGTTTCCGGGTGGTGTTCCCGGACTGGCGATGGTCATCATGTCTGGATTCTGTACTACTTGCTAGCCTGTTTCTTATGGATACCCCAATTCATTTTCTTTGCATGTTCGTGCCATTTGTGAGGGTTTTGTGCTAATCTACTGGTAATTACAATGTGAATAATGTCTACTAGCCAAGTTTAATTTGGTACTCTACCTTTCATTGCAACTGCGTCGTGATTCCTGTTATCAGCCGATGACATAAGGTGCCACCAACCAACCAGCGACGCGGCTTTATCATCCGCACCCGGCGATCCCTTGCATTTGTATTTAGTCCAATACTATATCCCCTCATTCTCCCCTCATTGCCCCTCTCCTACTTCCACTTCCATTCCCCGAACTCATCATGAAAGAACCCGTCATTCCAACGACTTCTCTTCCTCCTTCCCCCTCCCCCCGTCCTCTCCGCTTCCTCATAATTGGTGCGGGATCTCGTGGCACCGCCTACGCCCGTGCTGTCACCACCGCTACTCAAGGCACCATCCACGCCGTCGCCGAACCACACCCCTTCAAGCGCCGACACCTCGGCCGCTCCTACATCTGGGGCGAACACGGCACTCCCCAAGACGGCCAGGAATTCTCCGACTGGCGCGCCTGGCTACAATGGGAGCAGCAGCGCCGAGAAACCAAGAACGACCCCCGGGTCGGTGTCGATGGGGTCTTCATCTGCACCCTTGACTCCACCCACGTCGAGATCCTCCACGCCATCGCCCCTCTTCAACTCCACATCCTCTGTGAGAAGCCTCTCGCCCTATCTCTAGAAGACTGTCTATCCGTCTACCGCGCCCTCACCCCCAACCTCTCCACCAACATCTTCTCCATCGGCCACGTCCTCCGCTACAGCCCACACAACATCCTCCTCCGTAAACTTCTCCTTCTCGACCGCGTTATCGGCGACATCGTCTCCCTCGAGCACACCGAACCCGTCGGCTTCTGGCACTTCTCGCACAGCTATGTCCGCGGCAACTGGCGTCGAGAAACCCCCAACGGGGACGGCTCCCTACTAACCAAATCCTGCCACGACATCGACTTCATCATGTGGTTACTCTCCAGCCCTGCCCCCTCCTCAGACCCAACCTCGCAGCAACAACAACAACCCATCCACCCCCGAACCATCACCTCCACCGGCTCCTTAACCCAATTCCGCAAATCCCAAAAACCCCCCGCCGCAGGCACCGCAACAAACTGTCTCTCCTGCCCCGCAGAACGAGACTGCATCTACAGCGCCGTCCGAATCTACAACGACATGCACGTCGCCAAAGGCGACATAGACTGGCCCGTGAACATCGTCTGCGAAGACATCGAAGATATCCACCCCAAAGCAACAACCACTACCACCCCTAGAATCAACAAGTCCGACCCCATCCCCACCGAACACATCCCCCTCGCTCAATCTCACCTTCTCACCCGTCTCCGCGAAGACTACAACCAACCCCCCACCACAATCACCACCACGACGGACGAAAACGACCCCATCCACTCCCGCCCGTGGTACGGCCGCTGCGTCTACGAATCCGACAACAACGTCTGCGACGACCAAACCGTAACGATAACCTTCTCGTCCGACCCACCCAAAACCGCCCTATTCCACATGATCGCCCCCACCGAAAAGCAATGCGAGCGACGCGGCCGCGTGTACGGCACACTGGGCGAAATCAGCTACGATAGTCGCACGATCACCATTTACTCGTTCCAGACGAGGGAGACTACGACGATTACGGTGCCGAAGAGGCCGGCGGAGGAGGAGAAGGCGCATGGCGGAGGGGATTATGGGCTTGCGAGGAGCTTTGTGGATGCGGTGGATGCGGTGGTTAATAAGGGGTGGGGGGTTGCGGAGGCACAGAGGAGGTTTGTTGGGTGTGATTTGGAGGAGGCGGTTAGGAGTCATGCGGTGGTGTTTGCGGCGGAGGAGGCCAGGAGGGGGGAGGTGGTGGTTAAGTGGGGGGAGTGGTGGGGAGGAAAGGTTAAGGGGGTGGGTTTGTAGTGCTTCATGATGGATTACTGGTTATGATGTTATGAGATAATGATCTGTTTTATGATGCTTTTGTGGTTTGGGGTTTATGGACAGGGTTCAAATATATAATGGTTGATTGTCTTAAGGATGAAGAATAGGATAAGATAGGATGATACGTTTATATGAAAGAAAAATATACTGATTATTTCTTATTAACTACTCAAAAAACGCTATGAACATCAATCATGCTCTTTGCTTATGTGCGGACATCAGGCTCCTCACGGCCAATGTACTCCTTGAACTTAAGCAGCTCCAGAGCCAGAGCCACGTTGTCCTTCAGGTACTCGTCCGTGGCGAGGCCAAGCTTGCTGGCGTCGCTCTCGTACTTCTCAATGTACAGACGGATCGTGGCGCCGCTGCTGCCAGTGCCGGACAGACGGACGACGATGCGGCTGCCGTCATCGAACTTGACGTACAGACCCTGGTTCTTGGTCACGCTGCCGTCCAGGTCGGTGTAGGCGAAGTTGCCGACGTCGACGACCTTGCGGCCGGACACGGTCGAGCCAACGAAGGTGTCCTTGTTGTCGACCTTCTCCGACAGCGTGGCGATCACCTTGTTGGCGCCGTCGCTGTCGACGTTCTCGTAGTCGTACCGGGTGAAGAAGGTACGGCCGTAGGTCTGCCAGAACTCGTTCTGGATGGAAGCGATGCTGGGGGTCTCGCTGGGCTTCTGCTTGGCAACGCCAGCGATGACGTTCAGCCAGGCCACGATAGCCCACAGGCCGTCCTTCTCGCGGATGTGGTTGCTGCCAGTACCGAAACTCTCCTCACCACAGATGGAGATCTTCTGGTTGTCGAACAGGTTGCAGAAGAACTTCCAGCCCGTGGGCACCTCGTAGCTCTGCAGGCCCTGGGCCTTAGCCACGCGGTCGACGGCACCGGAGGTGGGCATGGAGCGCGCCAGGCCGTAGACACCCTGCTTCTGGAAGTAGGGGATGAGCTTGGCGTGGTGGGCAATGATGGCCAGACTGTCACCGGGGGAGACGAAGGTGTTGGCACCGTAGATCATGTTACGGTCACCGTCACCGTCACTGGCAGCACCGAAGTGGATGCCATTCTTGTCAACGCTCTCGACGAGCTCGTGGGCGTAGACCAGGTTGGGGTCGGGGTGGCCACCGCCGAAGTCGGGCTTGGGCTCGCAGTTCATGGTGCTGCTGGCGGGCAGACCCAGCTCGTTGACGAAGATGTCAACACCGTAGGGGCCAGTGACACCGTGCATACCATCGAACAGCACCTTGAAGTCCTTGTGGGTCTTGAGGAAATCGCGGATGAGGTCGAAGTCGAAGATCTCCTTCATCATGGTGACGTAGTCGGTGGTGGAGTGGACGACCTCAACCTCGATGGGGCCGTAGGTCTTGGAGCCGATGGTGGTGGTGTCAACATCGGGGATGTCAATGTACTTGTAGGAGGTGAGGGACTTGGAGGTTTCGAAGATCTTGTTGGTGACGGATTCGGGGGCGGGAGCGCCATTGGCAAGGTTGTACTTGATACCGAAGTCGTTCTCAGGGCCTGAGTATAGCAGCATAATGTCAGTGTGGGGTCTATGGACCTATATGCTAGATAACGTACCACCAGGGTTGTGACTGGCCGTCAGGAGGATACCACCGGTGGCCTTGCGCTTGCGGATGAGGTTGCTGGCAGCGGGGGTGGAGAGGATGCCATTCTGGCCGACCAGCAGCTTCTTGACACCATAAGCGGCACCGATTTTGGCAATCTTCTGAATGACCTCGGTGTTGTAGTAGCGGCCATCGCCACCGATGACGAGGAAAGCGCCCTCAGCACCCTCGGGGATAGAGAGGATGATGCTAGTGACGAAGGACTCGGAGTAGTTGGGCTGCTGGAAGACCTTGACCTTCTTACGAAGACCGGAGCTGAGTGTCGTCAGATAAAAGGACAACTTATAACTTGAAGCCAGAGGACATGGAAGCAAGGAAAGACAATCGAGGTTACTTACGTTCCCGGCTTCTGGTCGGTGAAGGGAGTGATAGAGACGGTTTGAACGGACATGGTGGGGAGGTGGGGGGGTATAGAGATGGTATGGATAGAAAGAAAGAGGGAGGGGAGGGGAAGCTGGAGGGGTATGGACGGGAAGATATAGAAACGTCGGGAGGAGAAGCTCACCGACAATTGAAGCGAGAGAAACAGGGGGAGGAAAAGGAGCAGGGAGAAGGGAGGGGCAAAGAATGGAAGGGAAGCCGGCGAGACACGAGCGGGGAGGAAGTAAATATAGACTGGCAATTAGCTTCGACTTTGCGAGTCTTCGCCCAACGCCAGGACCCCACCAGGAGGGGCCCATGTCAGCATGATGACTTCAGGCCAGAGCTTCATTCGATCCCCCCATCGCGATACACTGTACACTACGACACTCGAGCTGCAGATACCTGGGAAAAACCGGCCATTCTTGCTGCAATCCCGGATCCATTGGGCATCCATCCAGCTGTTCTACATTGTAATTGGGGTTCTACCCCTCTCTATGCTTGCTTTCGTGTACGTTGGGATTTTTTGGGAAGAGCTTCCCGGGTCCGTTCCCTCGCTCAGACATATTCGGCTACAATCCGAACAGTTGCCCCCGGTAGAATCGCATCTCCTCGATGCTTTCCAGAATGTCGTCCCGTGCCAGATGAACCTCCTTCTTCCCTGGCACGGACTCTAGTAGCTCATCTGAGCCCCACCGTCGTACCATTTCTTTGAGTGCACTCACGTCCACGATCCGATAGTGTAGCCATTCTAGCACCGCCTGGTATGGTCCCTTGGCCAGAAACGCCTTGTCGGCGTGGACACTGTTCCCTGCCAGCAGTCCTCGCCGGGGCTGTGGCACGTATTTCTGGATATAGGCCAAAAGAGCCGTCGCAGCCTCCTCCGCGGTGGTGGTCGAGGCCTGCACGGCCGCCGTCAGCCCTGTGCGACCGTGGGTCTCGATGCACCATGCGTTCATGTTTTCTAGGACTGAGGTCGGGTGGTGGATGACGGTTTCGAAGCCCTGGGGTTCGAGGAGGTTGAGGTTGGCATCGGTGATGTAGCAGCAGATTTGGAGGATCTGGTCGGTATCCGGGTCAAGGCCGGTCATCTACACGCCGATCGAAATGTTGGAGTTCGTCAGTCGCGGCTGGTAGAGGGGTAGAAGCACAGGAATGCCGCACCTCGCAATCAATCCACACCAGGGGATCGGAGGAACGTGTCAATGGCATGGCTCTTGGAAGCGGTAAGTAGAATATAGTATCTCCTGGGACTCCTTCAGACAATCAGCAAGAATTGGATACAGGTGTTGGCATGAGGTGGTATTGGTCTCAACATGAGGGAGGGAAAGATTTTTGGTCGGCGGGGAGCGGCTCTCCACTCGAAACGGACCACGGTAGGGAGCTCTTACAGCAGCGTAATCCACGCTATGACTGCCATTCAAGCGCCGACTACAGCCTACGTCTCCTTCATTAGGCTTTACAGGTACAAACGGGATCCAAGAACGTAGCATAAATCGTTAAATGCAACTTGCGTGACTCATTGCGTCTATATCAGTTACCTTCGCCTGTCCCCCCGTTCTAGCTAGAGAATCAATTACCCAGCCGCCCACAGAACTGAGAGAGATGGATATGAAAGTGAAGGGTAAAACTACTTAGTCATGATGATTTCGTCAGAAATGGACCATATCCAAACAGTAGATGTCAGCTGTAGTTAGAATGGTAAATAATAATTGAAAAAAGATCAAATCAGAGTGCAGATGGTGCTGCGGTCTGACGCAGCTGGCTAGCGCGCCGTCTCGCACCAGTCCATCGTGGCGTCTGAAGTGAAGAAAAAGAAAGAGGAGGATGAAAAAAATTGTGGGTAGACATCTGTATCGCTGAATATGGGCATGGATGATGGGAGTTGAAGCAACCGGTTACAGTTCCTCATCTTCGGTCTCCTGGGGTTTTTGCGGGTGTGTCTCAAGAGGGTTGGTTGCCTTGGTACTGTCACCTGGGCCAACATTTGTAATCTCTTGGGAAAGTCCCGACTCCATTCGTCGGCGCATGGCGTCTTCATCTGAATGTGAGACGCTCGCCCGCTGCTTCTTCAATGGACTGCCGATGAATCCTCCGTTCAGCGGGTTAGCGGCTGGCTTGGGGGTTTCAGCGGCCGTAGCCGCAGCAACAGCGGGCGGAGTAGTAGACGGATCGTTGGTCGCAGGCGTGTCCCCGGCTGTCTTGGGGCTCGCACTTTCGGCCGGAGGTGTATTCGTAGCTAACGAGGCAGACGAATGCTGACGTTTAAGCTGTGTACAACAGTTAGCCGGTGGTAGAGACACTAGTAACAGTTCTTGACGTACCTTTATTTTGCGTATGCTTTCCGCGAGCTCCCCTTGCCGTCGGATATCATCCGGAGACAAATGAAGATCATCTTCTTTGCCCTCCTCTTCATCTGCTTTACCGAGAATCGAATTGTCTTCATCGTCTTCACTGTCCATCTCGTCATCCTCACCAGACTTCTTGCCTTTCTTTCTTTCTGTGCTGTCGCGGAAGTTCACAAATCCGACCGTGCCGCCGGGTTTCAGGGGACCGAGATTGGCGAAGTCTGGCTGCAAGGACCGACGCTTTGCAGATCCGGGAGTTTCTTGCGCCTTGGGGTCTCTCAGAATTCCCATCTTTTGCAATTGACCTGTGTCCTAGTCAGTCGATAACTCTACAGAAAACCAGAGGGGTTAAACTCACGCTCGCCACGGTACATGAATGTGAAGGTGGCGTAAGGTTTGTCGGATGGGTCAATGCCTGTCACGGTCTGCGTGCTAATCGTCTTGGGGTCGAGCGTCTTTGGCTTCGCAAAGCTCGTTGTGTGATCAATGTCCGCATCAGCTGCCCCTTTATGTCCATTCTCGCCCTGGGCTTCGTCATCATCGTCATGAGCATCGAACTGTGGTGAGTACTCTCCGCGCTTAATCTCCCCAGATGCCAGGACACGGAACAAAGCCACCTTGATCTGACCCGCAGACTCGGGGATCGGGTCATCGTCCGAATCGGAGAACGACATGTCGTCGTCCGAAACATCTTCTAGCGGGGACTTTGCATCGTTGCCATAGCGCATGACACCTTTGCCCGACTTTGCGTCCATCTCCAGATCTCCAGTTGCTTCCCGCTTGATTCGGCGCTTCTCCATTTTTTGTCGTCGGCGCTCGATCTTGGCGGCAGCGTCTTTACCCTCCAAGTCCAAGCCGTTCAGCCATCTTTCTAATCCGACTTCGCGGAAGAGAAACTCCCGTTCGGCGAGACCTCCGCCCTCTGATACCGGTACGCTAACCCATCGAGAGTTGACCCACGTTTCTTCACCTCTCCGCAGCAGTGTGGCCACTTCCTCCTTCGCCCGGCCATCAAAGTAGATGTAGGCGGCGACCGTTTCATTTGGCGAATTAGTCAATGCTTGGTACGGAGCAACCGTGCTGCTGTACTGGCCACGCTCCCCGGTAGTCCCGGGTAGCCCACCAACTACCTTCGGCTTGGGTGCGGGGTTGTCGGGGGTCGGTTTCGGGGCGGAGTATGGGACGTCTTGGCCGGGGTTGAGAAGGGTGATGGAGATAGCGAACGTTGACTGCTCAGGGCGTCCGGATCCGGATTCAGGGATCTTGGGTGGTGGCACGGGGATGTAGCAAGCTATGCGAGACGCCCGGGACTGGCGTTGAATGGAGTATTCGGAGATAGGTCCGTCCGGAGTGTGTATACTCACGGCGAGACCCTTGAAACAGGGCATGGCGGGGCAGGGATGCGGATCGCGGCGATGAGAGGTGTTGTGTAAGTAAATTCGAAGCTAGCGTTTCACCCAGCTGGAAGTGAAAGAACGGAGGGGCAAGAGAGGGAGGGCGAGAGTGCGTGGAATCGTCCCTAGGAGAGCTAGTTGTGGGTGGTGGAGGCGGTCAGGGTTCGTAGTGTGTTTGGCCTGCTACCGACAGCCCTCGTCGGGGGGTGGGATGACCGATTCACGGCCAAGGACGAGGCCTATGGGGCTTGTCAATTCCAAGAAAGCAATGTGTTCGCCGGAGTGAGTCAATCGACGGGTCCCTTCGTCTGCGCGAAATCCAGGTAGGCCCGCCAGTTGCGCAGAGTGAGAGGGAGGGGAAGCGTTGCTAGAGGGCGCCAACAATGAGCTAACAAACATGAAACATACCAGGCTAGGTTCAACAAAAAGGAAGTAAGGCAACAAAAAGAAGAAAGTTGATTGCTGCAGTAAGAGCAGTCAAGACAAGCTTTCGAGCCGATCAAAATACGAGGAGCAAGACTGGACTGAATCCGGGATGGAAGAAAGGGAGGGAAAGTCGGAGTGATGTGGGAGGACGAGGGAGAAGTGGAGGTGACGATCGACGCCGGCTGGAACTCCGCCTGCTTCTTCCCTGGATCGCTTCCGCTGCTCTGGTGTCGGGCGCCTTGTCCTCTTCCTTCCAGGGGCCTCACTCACGCAGCCCAAAATTCAATGTGTCTGCGAGTCATTGGTGAACTTTTTTTATTTGCTGAAGATCTCTTCTTACAGGGGTACTTCCTGGTCTTTCTCAGGGATGTCTCAGGGTTTTATACATCCTGCCTCTTACCTACACTCCTAGCCTACAACTACTAACTTCCTTGTTTTGTTTTGGACCAGCGGACCAGTGTTTATCGGCGGTGCTCTTCACGCCCATTAGTACTCTATATATAAGCTAGATCCCGATTTACAATCCTCGTCTTCGCGCTTCCTCTCTCGCAACGGTGGCAAGTTCTGGGAAATCCCGATCGAGGCTGTCGAACAGCGCCTCCGCTTTCCGTCGCTTGCGCTCTTCGATCTGACCCTGCAACTGACTGATTTTCTCCTGAACCTTCGCATGTGAGTCCACCAGGGAAAGATCCAGAAGTTCATCGGCATATCGACGGAGCTCTTCCAATTTCCTTTCAAGAAAAGAGATACTGGCTTCATCTGTAGTGGCTGGAACACTCGGCTCATTGGTCGGCCGTCGGAATGCGCCATCTCCTGGCGTCAGGGAAAGTAGAGGAGATGCATGCCTAAAGGGAGCCTGAAAGGAAGGCTCAGCTTCAGCAGGGCTATGTTCCTCAACGAGATCACTGATACGGAGCTGCCCTTTTGGGCCTATACTCCGTGAGGACATGACATAGGGACGAGCGTTTGAGTGTATAGTATCCTCTGTACTTTGCGACTGTATCATACCACGATTTGTGAAAGTACTATAGTCTTCCTGCTGTCGTGGTAGTTCCACCTCTTCATCACTAACCTGGGTTCTCGGTCGTTTATGTACCCGGGAAGGCACTTCAGGCGGGAGGGATGCGCTATGAGTAGCCATACTAGCTCTTTTGCCTCGTTTTTGATCGAATACGTTGTCGGTGAACCCCATGATTCGACCGCGAGGATCAATCGACTTAATCCGAGACCGCACAGGCTTGTCTTTGCTAGAGTAAGGAAGAGGGAAGTGGCAGCATCGGCAATTGCAGAAATGGGAGCACTTTGGACATACCCATGGATCTGTGTTCCTCAGAAAGGGTATCAAATCCACGTCAAAGTGTCGATGGAGGCCCCGGAAGCAAAAGAATGCGGAGCATTGGGTACATGCCACCCCTTTCCAGGCAGGATGACTATCACGGCACAAGTGACAGAGTCGCTCCTGATTTATTTAGTTCGCGCCCCTTCAATGCCAAGCTAAACAGAGATACTGGGGTTATTCCGTACCATCATCGGTTCTTTCCGTGCATCTGCCGCGGCAGCAGCCAAGGCGCCCAGAGACTTTTGCCTGGAAAAGGTAGAATTAGAGGCACATTCTTGATCACATAATTTATCATAAGACTCTTGACACGGGACCAAGGCACAGGTTTCGAGGGTGATAGGGCCCGTATGCTTGAAGGGAAAGGTCATACTTTGGATGTTTGATTCGGGAGAGTAATCGATCACGCAGTCTGTTCCGAGTCGACTGAATAACCTCCATGCAGTAGGCGCGCGGAATGAGTTCGGCCCATGTATAGTCAGCAACGTGTTTGCAGCTGCGTCCAGAGATAAAGCACGTCAGACATAAGTCAAAGTCGCCGCACTGCTCGCAGTGCAGATGCCGATTCCATATTGTCAAGCCGCAGAAATTACATTCTACCACGGCCCCCTGGGTATCCACGGTCTTCATTGGAGGGACCGAGTCAGTCTCAATAGCTTCATCATCCAGCAATTTTAGAAAGACGTCCAGGAGAAGAGCTTCGTCCTCAGTTCCTAGAGACCCTCGGATCAAGGCATGTAACGGGATTAGAGGGACTCGGCCAGTGTCTGCATGGCAGTATCGCTGGTAGAATGGCTGGATGTAGTCGAAGAAAGAGACAAGCGAAGAGCTATGCATAACATTCCAGACTACCTTTGTAACCATCGGGCTGATATTCCAAATTTGATGGGCAGTAGCTGAAGGAAATATTACCAAGTCTCCAGGTTGCTGATGGGTAATGTATATAGGAAAATTGGCGGACTTGAGCTGGGTAGTAGAAACGTCGGACCAATCGGTATGGGGAGACTTTCCCAATCTCTCCATATATGTATCGTATACGGCCTGTGAGTGTTTATCGGTGCCAAAGCAGATGGACCCAGGGCCAGCACCTAACCCGATCATCAGAACGTTTGTCGAGAACGTCAAATATGTCTCGTCATGCGTTTACCTTCTGATTCAACTAATAGATTCAGCGCAACTGTTCCGCTAAAACATCTGTGAAATCCTGAACTACCCCATCATAACATGGTTAGTGGACATAGGCGTAAGGAAGGTAGCAGAGACTCACGAAGATTTCCGAGTCCCAACATACGCCATCAGCACCTCCGGAGCTATCTCCTTTGGCAACGTCCGGAATAAGTCAAGAGACCCAAGATGTCTCATGGCTGAAGGAAGAAATGCATCTAATGCCTTGATCCATTCCTGTGGGCACTGGAGGTCTTTTGCGTACAAACTGGCTTGCCTATCAGTTTAAGGGGCCGACGCTCGGAACAGTGATCATATTAACGTACAACTCTCGGACATTGCCGGTACGAGCATATTCTGTCTGCGAAAGGAGATCTTGGAGCCGCATTTTCGCATCTCGCCCAGTGTGGCAGTTTCTTACTGGTATCGCTGTCCATGCGTAAAGATGTCAACGGCTACACTTTTCAGGCTGTTATGTCGTGGGCATACCTGCTGAGGAAGAGAGGCTGCCTAGTCTCTCATTGTTCAGAACCGACCTGTCCCATTCTTTCAATCGAGAAAAGCCTCGTATGACAAATGGCTTCCCATCGCGGAGTTTTGTCTCCACCCATTTTGTGGTTTCATCTTCTGACAGATGAGTGATGTCCTGAACAGAATACTCGGAAAACGGGATGAACGGCTCTCCAGCGCGCAAGAGGTCCTGCACAGACGGGGGCGCCTGTTGTAAGAATTCCATATCATAACAATCTTGAAAGAAACATTGTCACACCGTTAAGACATGAATAAGGGTATTCCCAAGGCATTGGCCTTCGATAGAAGATTGATATCACACATCGGTCGGCCATCTCGGAACCGGGGCTCTGATTGCTACTCACACGTGACTTCTGATTCCCCGCATATGTGTTCTAACCATTTACGGTAATCTATGAGGTTCACTCTTTAGCAAGTCCACGGGGATGAACGAAAAAAAATCCTTAATTTTGTCTAACAAGAATGAAAGGGAGAGCCTGAAGTATGGCCATAAAGAGCAAGTTATCAGCGTAACTTAGTGTAAGGGAAAGTACGTATTCGCCTGCGCACTCTTGATTACTGTCACAGCAGTCTTAGTTCCGAGGCCCAGACTCGATGCAGCGCCTTCAACTGGTGCTTATATCCTGATGGGGGGTTACATGGTTTTTCGACTCCGTAGTGCAATATAAAAGATGGTCCGATATGATGAGAACCAGCGGGGCTCGATGTAGTACTAACATGTCATGGCAGACCGCTACTACTAGGGTCAACAGCCGCCCGCCAGTTTGTCTCAATCTGCAATGATATAGACATAGCCTTCAGAATCGCGGACGCAGAACTTATTAGCGTAACGGCGAATATATTGGTTAGAGTAAGCAGGCAGCCCTACCTCAGCTACAGTTTGGGATCTTTAGATTGGGAATCGTAGGAATTGACGTCGCATGGCCCCTTCCGAGGAAAGCTGCGCAGACCCTGGTCGAGGCTACAGCAGCTTAATACGAAAACTGACTAGTCGAGTCGTCTGAAGTGCGTGATTTGGGATCAGATCCCCGACTCAGCTTTTCGCTGTGCGCTACCCATTACTTGGCTTGAACCTTCAATATTATGGCATGATTTCCATATGATCAGACAGGCTGGGGTCTCCTTTCAAGTATCTGACGCATGCGCTCTTGGAATCCCGCCTCCACCATCACTTATAGCTCGACCTACATCAAGAAAATCGATATCCGGGTAAGGCGAAAGCGGAAGCTACTTGGAGGGAGGCCCAGACGCCAGCCCCCGACTTTCAGGCTGTTGCCCGGGCCGTGTCGTATAGAGCGGGTCATCCAAGGCAGGTGGCCAGGACAGGCGGCTGGGAAGACAGGTAAAGTCTGGATCCAGCATGGCAAAAGGATGCGCGGGCCAGCTTATTGGAGGGTCGTTGGGTGCCGTCCTCGAGCCTAACTAAGCCTAATCCAGGCTTTGTCCAGTCAAACCTCCGGCCGAGACCCCTTCATCCCTTTCATCCCCACATGGTGCTGTAACCCCAGATCGAACCCTCGACCCGCCTTGTCAACGAGCGGGTTTGGTCACCTGTTGAGAACAACACAGGAAGTCGGGGTATAGCTTGGCAGCAATATTTGCCCTCACAGGCAGTAGCCAATCCAACTATAATCGATGACAAGTTTGGACTATGGACGTTAGCAATCGGATCCTGAGTGGCAAAAGAAACTTGCTGACTGGGCTCGACTCCTTTCAAGATGACCCTCGCTCCGCCCCTGACCCAAAATTACTCCGTCCGGTTACACCTGCTGATCGAATCGGCTAGTTGCGTGGCTTACCGTCTTTGTAAATCAACCAAGGGCCAGGGTGTTTTTGAAAAGAAAAGGTTATACACTCGGGTGAAAAAGTTGGCCGCTGTTGCTTTTCCCCATTTATCTCGATAAACTCTCAACTCCACGTGAGCATGACGCAAGGGTGAATGGAGTGTGGGCAGAAAATCTCCGTGAATATGGAATAAGTGCGTAAACAGTGCTCCTATACAGAGTAGAAATGGCAGGCTGGTCCTGTGAGAACAGACTGGCTCAGACAGCGACTAAATTGCCCATGTTACCTGCCTTGTGTGGTTCCACTTGTCGAGTCCTCTAAAACCAAGGGCACCAGTGTCCAATCGCTTCTCAATTAACTCTAAACCCAGGAAAGAATTGAGCAGTAGTGGCAGTCCGTTCCCTTCCCCGGCTGCAGGTGGCCAATAAATGCGCCCACCAATCTGCATTGGGCTCAACATTTGCCAGCCGGCATCGCTCTAATTGTCAACACTTGGCTCCCGAACTCCACGGTGGCGTTGACGGCGTTACAATGCGATGCATACACTAGCCAAGTGGAACCATAAGGGTGCAAACGAGAAGAAACTAGAAAAAGTAAAGAGGCAGGCCTAATTACAAGGGGCAAGATTGCCACGTACGGGTGCGTCTGGTCCAATTTAGGCTCTCCTTGATGGTAACCATCTAAATTCCATTCATACGATAAGGTTTTCTGGACAGTTGAAAGAATTGGTCGTGGTCAGGGATAATGGAAGCTCCAAAGAACATCATCTGATGCAACTAGCATTGCATTAGCTTTCTTTGAACATTTGCATGCGGATCAATGTTCTCAGCCATAATCTGTACATATGCTACTCTTCCCCACCGGTCAGAGCTTACAAGGTGACAATGAAGACCAGTGTACCTATGCTGAAGTCAGCAGACTTAGACTAGCCCACCTCCACAACCACGCATTTCCTCAGAGGTTGGAGGGGTGCAAAATCCAATTCCGTGCAAGCCCTCACTATCAGTCTATCTGGCCATCTGTCACCTGCCTGTACCATGGTTGCCTCAATTTCTTGGAAAGTCCTCTTTGGCAAAGGTTACCTTCGCCCGGAATGAATGTCCGGGGTAGTCTAATTTGTGGTAACTCCAGATGTCAGACGAACAGGAGCATGTTAGATCTGACTATGATGGAAATACTTGCGTCCGCAGTGCCCTGTTACCATACACTGGGTATTTGTGCGCGGAAGTGAGGAAATAGCCACATTATCAAGGAGATGTAGTTCCAGTTAGCTTCAGATAGAATGGCCATGTGCCAGTTCCAATGAGTTTGTTGAAAGAAAGGGGCTTATGCTCTCAGATAATACATGTCCTATCAATTACATCTGTTCACATGTCTGATTGGATTGCCACTAGATCTTCTACCCCGGGTTCAGGACCCCCGCGGGGAAGAACGGAGGCATCACAGTACCGCACAATACTTCCATCTTGGTAAGAGCCTCCTGCAGCCGGAGGGTGAAGTGAATGCAACCGGACCTCGCCTCTTTGTTCAGGGCTCAACCCGACTATTCCCAACAGTGCGCTCTTAATTCACTTCCCCTCGCACCTGCTTACTTCAAGTCTTTTAATCCCCTCCGCCTTCCTAACTTCATTTCCACCTCACCCCGCATCTGTTGTGCATTCTTTCTCATCCCCGTACTTCCCCACGCCGCGGCTTCGACGCGCCCTGTTCTTCTTATCACTCACACCATTGTGGCTAGTGATCCTCTGTACTCTAACTTGTGCAAGCACTTGATCCACACGCGCTTTTCTTCATCCTAAGCCAGGTAAACACCATGGCAAAGGAGGAGGTGACCCCGATTCAGGCGGTCGACTCTGCTGTTGACCCCTAGTATGTGTCTTCCATGTTTACCTATTCTTTCTTCGTCATGTATACTCACTTTATTTGCGTTAGCGGCAGTCACAATGAGCCCGATGTTACTGAGAAGGGCACTACGGAGCACATTAATCTGAACAAGAATACTTCTGCCAAGTAAGTTACTTCATCCGATCTTGGTGTCTCTGTCGTGTTCCCAATAACCAATTCCATGATAGAATCAAGAATCCCCTGGCGGATTTGAGCCCAGCTCAAGTGGTCCAAGATGTCGAGGACTTTGCCACTGAATATCAGCTGACTGATATTCTCCCCTTGCTCAAAAAGGGAGCCCTTGTGGCACGCGATCCCGAAGACTTTCAGTCAGTGCCCGATATGACCAGTGATGAGATCACTGCCATTCGTGATGAGAAAGATCATAAGTGGCGTCAGCCTAAGGCTCTCTACTTCACCATCATTCTCTGCTCCGTCGGAGCTGCTGTCCAGTGAGTATCACGCCCGAGACTCTCGCTTCCTATCAGTACAACTTGAACGGTGATTTTGAGCTGTTTTGCTGATTAATTGCCAGGGGTTGGGATCAAACCGGAAGTAATGGTAAGTGTGCTCTGAAACTTGAGTATAGCAGTCCTCGCTAAACTTAATCTATCATCTAGGCGCCAACCTCTCGTTCCCTGTTGCGCTTGGAATTCCTGAGGATGGTCCAAACGCGTCGAGAAACCAGTGGCTTGTCGGTGTCGTCAATGCGTGCGCAGCCCTTGTCCCCGTATCTTGTGAAGATCACCTTGAGACTAATGTTCTTGGATAGGGCTCCATACATGTCTAGCGCTGTTATCGGATGCTGGCTGTCCGACCCACTGAACAAATATCTGGGTCGCCGTGGCGCTATTTTCATGTCTGCCATCTTCTGCCTTCTTGCTCCTATTGGATCGGCCGTCAGTCAGACCTGGCCTCAGCTGTTCGTGACTCGTCTGCTGCTGGGCTTGGGAATGGGCTTGAAGGCGTCTACAATCCCAATGTTCTGTGCAGAAAATACCCCGGCTTCTGTTCGTGGAGGTCTCGTTATGTGCTGGCAGTTGTGGACCGCCTTTGGTATCTTCCTTGGGACTTCCGCGAACCTTGCTGTCAAAGACACTGGGGATATCTCCTGGAGACTCCAGCTCGGTTCTGCCTTTATTCCAGCGCTTCCTCTGCTGATTGGTGTCTTCATGTGTCCAGAGTCGCCTCGCTGGTACATCAAGAAGGAAAAGATGCGTAACGCTTACCAGTCTTTGTGCCGTTTGCGCAACACCCAGCTGCAGGCCGCGCGTGATCTTTACTACATCTACGCACAGATCAAGGTTGAGCAGGATATTGCTGGAGTGAGCAACTATGCCACCCGATTTGTCGAGTTGTTTACCATTCCCCGTATCCGCCGTGCAACCCTTGCTTCCTTCGTCGTGATGATTGCACAGCAGATGTGTGGAATCAATATCGTTGCCTTTTATTCCTCGACTGTCTTCCAGCAGGCAGGAGCCAACGTTACCGAAGCACTGTTTGCCTCCTGGGGTTTCGGGCTTGTAAACTTTATCTTTGCATTCCCGGCGGTGTTTACCATTGACACTTATGGCCGTCGCGCTCTGCTCTTGTTCACGTTCCCCCAGATGGCTTGGACTCTGCTGGCCGCGGGCTTCTGTTTCTACATCCCCAAAGAGCAGACGGCGCATCTGGCATGCATCGCTCT